AAAACAAATGAACGCTAAAGAAAAGTGCTTCTTTTTGATCATCGCTTCTGTTCGCAAAATGGCACTTTTTGATTCATTCGAATAAAAAGTCCTTTTTTTACTCACCTGCATAAACCCTTGGGCGACGCCTTGAGGGCGCTGTCTTCGTTGCTCTTCCGTTCGCCTTTGGTGTTCCCCATCCAAAGTCAGTCTATCCAGGTTTCTGGCTACACTTGAGGCCAGTTTGGTCACCGACTGCAACGTCCCTGCCGTCACATGTCTCATTAAGGACGCTGATCCTGTGGTGATGCCTGGAAATCAACGCTAAAATATATTTTATGAACATTCAGACTATGAAGGCTTTCACGGCCGGTCAAATTACATTTAGGAATGTTTTCCGGGCTTTGAAGCCGTGGTCTATCGGAATTTCTTCCTGACGTTTCGTCCACAGCTGCGGTGGACATTATCAAAGGCGATGAGGCAGCGGAAAGCACGGGAGATCACTTCGCCCACTGCCTCATCGCCTTTGAAAATGTCCACCGCAGTTGTGGACGAAACGTCAGGTTAGTAGTAGTTAGTTAGTAGTTTATGAACATTAGTGAATGCACCGACCCCTGAGGAACGCCATCGGCCCTTGAACGAAGCCCCGATAAGGCAAACTGAGGAAATCTCTCAACCCCGTTCCCATCGCTCTGGCTAATCCGCCAGGACTTCCCAAAAGCTCCAAAGAACTGACCACCCAGCCGGCTCCAAAAATCGCTCCTGATAAGTAGTGCATGGTCAGCGCGTGTCCAAGTCTGTAAAAAACAAATCAGTTGTAACTCCTAGCTGGAACTGAAGAACGCACCTGTATGAGGTTGTAAAGAGGCGTCTTCTTTCAAACTTTCCGAACTGCAAAGGGCTTTGATCGAGAGCAATGAATATCTTCATAGAGCTGTGCACTGATAGCAGAAGGGAGACTGGGCTGACTACAAGTGTCCGGATGGTGAGTGGCTTGGCCAAGAGGGCGGATTGCCAGGCAATCAATTCTGGCACGCAAACAGATCGGGAGTTTGGACCTAGTAAAAAAACACTTTCTCAATTTCACCAACTACTCATCTAAATAAGGCTTGTTACCAATTTGCAAGAGTTTTTGCTGGCTGGGCCATATAACCAGGTGAATGATATTTAAGTCCTTCATGTACTGGTTCAGCCTTGTTAGGTAAATGTCCTCGATGAAGCATGATATTGGATTAATCGTTACTTTCATGGTTTTCACACCTGAAACTCTTTAGCTGTAGATAAAGAATGGAGGAAAATGGCAAATACCTGTATGAGTTTTTCCAGCTGCTTTATTCGCCCAAGTGTCCAACACCAGATCGGTGATAATCAAGGCACTTTCAGGGCAGCTTGCCAACAACGTCTCAATTGGGGTGCTCAGGATATTCAGCCGGTTTCGAGCCCTTCTCTCTTGTCCAATGAGGACCACGGGAAAATCAAACGACTGTCTCGCATACAGCTGGTTGTCCAGTTGAATGTCCGAAAGGGAAATTTGGACAGTTAGTTGCTAGAAAACAGACGCAGCATAAAGCCAGGAAATAAGCAGAACTTTTTCAAACAGGTTTACCTCTGTTTGCTTAGCAGTTACAACAACGTCGTCGCAAATCAAACTCGCCAATTCCCAGCGCTCGTCGCTGTCTTCTTCCGTATCGGTCAACAGCGTTATTCCAAAGCTTTTCACATAGACAGTGGCCTAAAAATTGGTGGGAATAAAGAAATTTGCAAAATTAAGCAGTTTTATTCGCTTACCTCTATGCTTTCCCATCCTTCCTTCAATGGTAGAGTCTTGACTAGCAAATCCTTCACTTTGGAAGAAACAGCCAATAACCGGGCAGAAGAATCCTCAGTTTTCCGCTTGGAAATATCCAGATTCCACTGACTGATCGGGACCATTTCGCTGTTAGAAACTGAAGATCCACTGCTGCCAGCCATTACATTTCTGTGATCATCTGCACTCAGAGGAGTAAAGTCTTTGTAAAGTGAGGTGGTTTTTTCGGTTTCCCGCAAAGAGAGCCGAACTCTGATGTCTCTAGCACTTATCTCCACCTGAAAAGAACGACAACTTCTAGAGAAGACTTTTTCAGGGAAAAATCAGTGGCTCTGGAATTTACCTGGCTAACGCTCTCTAAGGTCAAAATGGTGGTGCATGCTGTATTGATGATCGTCAACTTAACATCCCCGTAATGAGGCACGCGAATGAAGAGGTCGTTATTGTTAACTATGCTAACGCCCGCTGACCATTCAATATTCCTCCCTTCTAAACTCGCAATTGCAAATCAAGTCAGCATTCTACCCACAAACGCGCTTCTTACCCGTAGAGACGTAAGCCAATGAGACCTTCTGAGCGAAGGACACTTGCGGCAGCTCTGGAAACTTGCCGGATAGCGTTGGCGTGCTGTAGTGGACGCTGGAAAAGGGCGCAATCCTGCAGTTCCACCTGAAACTCCAAAGTTAATCAACCAGTCCAGTTTTACCCTAGTTTTAATTACCGAAAATGCTCGCACTCAGCCACAACCGAACTCTCATCGGGCAGCGTTTCTCCACAGTAAAATGCCACATTTGTCGAATTTTCAATGAATAGCTGGGGCCTGACATCATTGTGCAACGCCAAGTAAACCTGCCCTTTCACTTCTTGCGCCATTAAAACCACTGGAATCTAAATTTAAAAAAAAACGGATGTAATCGTGCCCTGCGAAGCAGCTTTTTTCGAAGTTTCTCAAGAACCATTCGAGCCACAGAATTCATTTTGGCATCGTTGGATAGAGAAATGAAAACTCGATTCAGTCGTAACAACGTGAGTGAGTAAATTCGAGTAGTTTT